CACACATACACACACCACACACCACACACCACACACACAACACAGCACACGCACACACGCACACCTACACACACCAAGTCTTCGACCGACGGCGGCTACGACCACGAAGGCGACTGAAGCCACGGTCACGGCCACGACCACAGCTAAGACCGTTCAACAGCTTCGATGCTCGATCATCCTGCATCTCCCCTCAGTTGTCCCTTCTCCCTCCTCAACTGCCAGCCGCCGCTTGTGTTCCCAGGAGGGCGGGGCGGCGCAGACCGAACATCATGCTTTCATCCACATGATCTGTCAGGTCTCGGATGCACCACGGGCTGTTGGTGGCCATCATGGCCGCTCTGAACCCTGAACAGGTGGAGCAATTGGCGGACAGGTTATACCAACAAGACCCCTGGGCCCGCGGGGGCCTGCCTTCAGCTCAAACGGGAGAACTGTTCGAGACCGATGGGGACAGAACCAGACCAGCCCACGCTGCTGCCACATGTGTGGCGGTGCGGACATGTTAACCTTCTGTCTGCATCCGGACGCAGTCGGCAAGAGGACATCGACTTGGCGTGCGCCAGTTTTGATTGTGTGACACTGGTGGGCACAGGATTGCAGGCCGATCCACGAGTGCAACAACGGAGGCTGGAGCGACGCTGGCAGATTGAGGCGGGATGGTAGCCAGGTCAGATGACCATCTGTGCTGCGGGGATCACGATGACAGTTGGGAGGAATATCAAACAACGTCACCTTCGTAGAGTGGATGCTCCAGGTGCTGAACTTGCTGGCCGCGGGTTGTCTGCCCGAGTATCTTCTCCTGTGTACGATTTCACGTTCATTGGAGTTTACTTCCCGCCGACGGTGCAGACAAAGTAGGAAGGCAAGCAGTATGACCGTACCGTTCGTGCCCTTGTGGGCTGGGTGGCTGGCATACAGTGCCGGCGCGGCCACAAGAAACCCTCGCAAGAAACCCAACCCTGAAAACCCGCGCGCGAGGTGCACTTGAGGAGGATCCCGGAGCGCCCTGAACACAGAGCAGTTTTTTTGACTGCCGCAGGAAGTCACCGCGCAGCGCGCGGAGCGAAGAAACCCACGGTACCCTTACGAGAAGCATCTGGTTTCTTGATGCGCGCCCCCGCTGTACTGGCACGGACGCCGAGCATAACAGTTCCATTACTATGCATGGATCTCAACGACGGCATAGGGATGTCACCGCCACCTGCTTCGCATCGAGTGGAGACTGACGCCATCATAAATGAGTGCAAGCGTGCAGCACTTGGCGGGCCAGGTGATGAGATAATTGTTGGCGGCGCATTATATGACGGCGGTGCCGGCGCAGTACGGACAATTACTTGGTACGGCACGGGCGACGCGGAGAGCCTCATTGACTACATGTGCATACCGCCAACGCTGCCATATAACAGTGCTGGAGCATTGATTCAGTTATCACGACGCCTGCAGATCATTCCAACCAAAGCGAAGAGGGACCACCAATTTCTTCACGTGCAATGTCGGCTTCCCACATTGTCCCAGCCACAACGTGCTGCGTCGACTCGACACGGATGGGACCGCAACGAATTAATTGGAGCCTTTTCATGGAGCACCAGAGCGCGATGCGTACATCAAAGCAGTCGAACAACGTTTGTCAGCAGATCAGGAATTGATGCGCGACCTAACGACGATAACACTACCCGATGCACTGTGGGCGCAACAGGAGGGCGTCATGATGGAGGTCGCCGAGGATTTCTTTCTGGTTGACCAAGTGGCCGACCTTCGCCGCGCGGAGATGCAAGCCCATCGTCGTGCCCTACTCCCCTACTCCATCGACGGCAGGAACTCCGTATGGCCCTCAGTTCGGCGAGTTCCAATACACGGGAGGCTGACGCCAACCCATATAGTGGTCCAGTTGTCTCCGATGAGGCCCAAGCTTCTCACGAGTTCGACAGTTGTCCCGTCAGATGAGGCGCGACCGCATTCTTGAATGGAAGGTTTTTCAGGAAGAGACGATTAATTACATGTGGGAGCAATGGAGACAACGAGAACTGCATGACATGCACAGGTTGGCGCGACGGGCAGCGGGGAGCAAATGTGAAACAAAATGGCGACCCATCCTGGCTGTTCAGGTTGCACCTCATTCGATCCAGGAATTGGCCGACCAGCTTTCCAAGCCAGGGTGCGAGGGCGGGGTGCAGGTGACTCTGGTGCCTTCTTGGATCCAGTGCGCCCGCGCTCGCGTGGGCGAAGAACTGGCGCCTTTTTCAGCCTCCCGCCCTGATGAGAGTCAGCGCAAGAAGGCGAAGGCCGATGTTGCGAAACTTGAGAGGTGGGCCTTGAGGGCCCCCAAACGGAAGGCGGTTCCGAGCTTGGCTGCCCCCGTTGAGTGTTTGGCGATTTTGTTGGTTCCGCCCACGGAGGCTTCGTTTCGTAGTAGAGGAGTAGGTGCCGAAGAGCCTGTTTTGTCGGCTCCGATTTCCCGATCTCATTTGGAAGACGCCCGCTTGCGAATTCGCGCCGGCTTGAAAATTCTGCGCTCGAGACAAGGCAGTTCATGGGCCAAGAAAACAGACGGCACCAGCGTTGGGGGCGCGACGTCGGGGTTGCGGACCATCCATCTTCTTCCTCCGCTCGGCAAGGGCTGGTACTCCACTCGCTCCGAAACTCCTGAGATGCCCCCCCAAGTGTTGGGTTTTCTGCCGCGTAGGTACAAGGAGAATGCTATCGCCAATTCGCTCATCATGGTGTGGCGCATTCGCCTCGCTGGCCGTCTCGGCCGAGTCCACCTGCGCGATCTCGCCAACGCTTTCGCCAGCGTGAAGTGGGCGGACCTGCGCGCCGCTGCCGTGGAGCTCATGGAGGATGGGCTCGAGCGCCTCGGATGCCAGCGCGTCGAGGAAGCTGCAGTTTGTCTTCAGTGTGAGGGGGGCCCCCGAATCTTGAGGCCAGGCTGCGGCGGCCTGATGGGGGGACCATATATTGCGCGCCAGTTCGTAGACATTTCACGCGACTATCCAGGATTGCGGAAGGGCGTTGGAGTCTTGGGGGGCGGGCGGAGGGGGGGCTTGTCGCGCGGCGCCCTTTCCTGGATCGCGCCGCGGATGTTTCTCTTGGCCTCTGCGCTGACGATATATCTAAGTTTTTACTCGCGGGGCCCCGCGAGGGTTTGCAGGGCATTGCTGCAATGGGCGAGCGAGCGAATTTTCTCTTGGACAAGGCCCTCCCCGAGGTGGGACGCAAGCAAAACGTGAGCAAGCAATAAGTTGCTTTACTTGTTTTGCCCGGGGCGGGGTCGGGGGCCCACGCAGGGGGTCTCCTCGTGCAGCGCGTTGCCCCCCCTGCGCCGCACTGCGCTCGCGCTCGGTTCTCGGGGGGGCGTATTGGACCCAACTGCAGCTTTGCCGTTGAATTCAGCCACCCGCTCTAGATTCGAATGGGGCATGCGCGTGCCCCCAGCAACAGCACATATAACTAGATCACCTTGTAGCCACATGCGGACGACGAGCAATGCGAGGCGCCGCCCATGAACAGATCGAAGCCGCCACCGGCGCCAAACATAGGTTTTAAAGCACGGCACAAGTCCTGGAGCATTGGCGCATGGCCCCCGCGTGCCTCGAGATGCGGGCGCGGCGCTTGAAGAGGACGCAGACGTCGGTCGCCCGCCAGTGGAAACATGGCCAGATTATCACCTCCTTGTTCGGGCACATCCCGTTTGAAGAGACGCCGGCCTTGTGCGACGGCGCCGTGTCGTCGCATTCGAACCCGCGGGCGCGACGGGGCGGAGGGGGATGGAGACGCGGGTGTCGGGCGGGGGCGGGGGAGGGGCGCGCGGCCTGCTTCGACGCGTGCAAGGGCGTTGCGCAGCTTCGCATGGTAAAGCATGGGCAGAGAGATATCTGGGCACGGCACGTGACCACGAATGTGCGCCCCTATTGCATGACGGCTTTCAGTTGTGTCAAGACGGCTCAGAGACACTTTCTCCTGGGAGCTGCCAGGGGGGGGGGGGGGGGGGTGCATCGACAGGGTGCGTTTTTTTCCATGGGGGCGCCTTCGTCCCGATCGAGTCGACTGCCATATCTGTGACCATAGGGCCCAGATCTTTGAGCTTTTGCAGAAGCACCTCCGTGCGCGCGCGCCCCCCCTCACGATTCTTGCGGATCTCGTCCCGACGCGTAGAGAACGATGCCATAGCTTGGAGGGTGAAGGTGGGGGTCGGGCACAGGGCCCCGGAAATGGTGTCTTCTTGGGCCGCGAATGGGCGATGCATCCTCGATTGCTGTGCTCGGCTGGGGTGCGCGAGACTTGAGGGGAAACGAAGCAAGGGGGCGGGGGGCTCGGGAAAGGCGACGAAGGCAACGTGCGCTGAGGGCGCAGAAAGACAAGGTTGAAATAAACGAAAGCGGTGAGGTGAGTGTCAAAATCTGCCCAGCCAATCTGACATGCGGAACGCTGCGCCTCAGGTTTGGGGATCTTGAAGGCCAGGGCATAATGTAAATGCACATTGTGGGGGAAAGCAACATGTGAATTCACAGTTTGGGAAAACGGAAAATGTGAATTCAAATTTCGGGAAACAGGAAATGTGAATTCACATTTTGGAATTTTGTGTAGGAATCTTCATGAAGGGGGCAGAATGTGAATTCACAATTTGGGAAAAACGAAAATGTGAGTTCACATTCGGGAAAAGGGGAAATGTGAATTGACATTTTGGGGGAGTCGCGGGGCCCATTCCAAATCTGTCTTTGGGGTCGACAGTTCATCGTTTGGGAACATACGCAATCATCATTCGCACAATCAAGACGCACTTGCACTCCACTTCGCAACGCCACGCGCAGAATGCAAGAACGCCCGCACTCGCGAACGATAATGGATGGACGGCGCGCGCGCCCACGCGGGCAACGCGCGGGCGCGAACGATTGGCCTCCATGGCCGCCAACATTGGATGCCAATCGTTCCTGATCACATACATGAGCCATGCATTGAGCACACATGGGCCATTCAGCCCCCATTGAAGACCCCCTGTTGCAGACCCCCTCGTTCACCCTCCAAATATCGGAGCCGCCATGTCCTTCCTCGCGACGCCGAGCCGGGGCCTGAAGCGGCGCGGCGACGCCAGTGCAGCCGCGGACGCACCGCCCAACAAGGGGCAGATTTCGGAGCTCCTGGCGGCAGGAGAGGACGTCAGCACGGTCGCGAAGTTGCTCGTGGTCCTTGCGAATTTGTCGCTCACGAGCGCCGCAGACATTCGGGAAACCACGGGGATGCCGTGGAACGCCAGTTTAGCAGACGTCAAGGGCAGCGTCGCCAAGCACATGCTCGAACAAGGTCGCGTTGACCACGAGGCAACCAATGCCGCCAAGAACGACCCAGCCGCTCTCGAGGCCCTGGGGCCGCCTTACGCGCACGTCTTCGCAGGGCTCATGCAGGGCGTCGCGGGGTGTACCTTGGGCGACTCAATGAAGGTGCCGCTTGCTTCTTTCTGGGAGGAACCGGTAGTGGAGGAGGGCAGGGCGCCGACGGATCTCCTCGGCAAAGTGTTGCCTTGCAAGTGCAAGCCCGCCAAATCGAAGGAGGGCAGGCCAGGCCTTGTGCAGGTCGCGATCGCCATGGGCGCCGCGCGCGCCGCCCTGCAGAGCTGCCTGGCCAAGGCAATGACGACGAACGGAAGGGTTCTCAAGCGCGGGCCTGCGCCCCGCGGCCCGCTCGAGAGGGCGGCGCAGGAGCTTCTCGAGGAGCTCGGGGTTGGCAAATCCAAGAAGGACAAGGGCAAGGGGACAATCAAATGAGTGTGCCTACAGACGGTGGGGTTCGCTTGGCTGCTGTTCAACGGGTGCAGATTGGACAGTTTTCGCATCGTCAACTGCAAGTGGTGGAGAGAGGTCAAGTGACTTTCAACGCGGTTCTGAGGCACCCTGGCGTTGGTTCTTCTAGTTTCGTTCTGCAGCCTCAAATTCGCAGGCAGAGGGGGTGGGTGACCGCCCGAAGGGGTGTCGTCGAGGTCGTCGAGCCTGTCGCTGTCGCCGTTGAGTCTGTCGTGGAACGTAACGGTCACCTCCCATCCAGTAGCCCTCAGCAGCCTGGTGTCGGGCGTGTGGGGGCTTAGCGTTCAATCTTCACGTTTCAACTTTCACAGTGGGGAGTTGGTTGCCTTGCCCTCGCCGCCTCCCAGCCCTGGACTGCGGGGCTGTGTTCGTGCGCCCGCAATCCCTGGGCCAGGAGCGACGCGTGGCGGGCGTAACTAGCTACGCACGGGAGCATTATTTGTGGTTTGTGGTGGTGCGGGGGAGTCCGTCGGCTTAGTCGGCCAGAGACGGTGCTCCAGACCGCCCGTGCTGTGTTCCTGCTTGCACGGCGGCCACGTAAATACTTTGGCAGTTCCTCAGGGCGTATAGGCAAGCAGTTTCGAGTTATAAACTGGCGAAAGTCGCCAGGAGTGGCCCACGCTTCTCGCGTATACGAGCTGATTGAACTGCCCCCAAAGCTCGATTCCGATTCCGATTCCGATTCCTCAGCTGTCCTCTACGACGGAGGAGGCGTCCAACGACTTCTCATCATTGTCGCCCCTCCCCTCCCAAACATCTAGAGCTACGATTTTTGATGACGCGCGCCCCCTCGGACTTCTCGACCTCTTCCCCAGGGCAAGCGTTTCGCGGCTCGACGGCGGCTTCCATATGCCGGAGCTTGCAACACGCCGGCAGCCTCGAGTTTTTGCCGGGGCGCTGGATGTGTGGGCTCCCCTCATATCACCGGGTGCATTCCACTACCCGCAAAGTGCCTACTCGCAAACATCCGAAACAAATAGGTCTTCCTCTGGTTGAATTATCGTTAAAATAACGTAAATCCCCCGCGGCGGATCCAGGCCATTTGCGAGTAGCTACCTTGCGAGTATTGGGACGCGCGCGTCCATCAGACACTGCTCTCCTCCGATGTTTTGCCCCCTGTCCTCTGCGGGGCGGGGCTCGCCCGCGGAGGGGCAGGGTCGGGCCGGGTCGGGCGACAGGGGAGGGGTGCAAAGGCTGCGGCGTGCAGCCGGTTTCGGCCATTGCGCGCTCTCCCTCGATGCTCTGGCGC